CCAAGTCGTAAGCGGTAACGCGTAAAAGTCTATGGCCTAAAGATCTTATCATATAACCAAATAAACTTTTACTACTGTCCGCTTTAAAACCTTATGATCCTTTAGGGTTCTCAGGTTTAATTTTTGACATTGCAAAAAAGCCTTTTCTTAGAAAAGAAAGTTTTGATAAAAGCCTGCGCTGCGCTAGTCTGAGCAGTCGGTGGACCGCTAGGGCAAATTGCATATGCCGAATTTACTAATTTTGATAACCCTTGACTTCAAAATCAAAAACCTTTTCGCAATTTCAGATCAAAAACCAAATATGTCAAGAAGAGTTGAATGAAAGCTCAAATGGCAAGGACTGAAAGTTCCGAAATGCACAACTTAGACCCTCGTCAAATCTGCGTCTATCAAATCAAAAAAGGACTGATAGCTATGTAGCCATAAAAATATTTCCCCATTGCTGTTTACAAAGGATAATCATGTATTTAATTAGAATGAAATATAAGCATAAGTGATCTAGAGGATACAGAAAGCTAGCAAAATCGGCTCGCAGTTGTGGAAAGCTCAAGCTTTCTCATGATCCTAAACACATGAACGAGTAGCTGGTTTAGATGACAGTAGCTGAGAATTGTCGAACTCTTAAGGGTTGTGATGTGTCTAAAAAACATCGTCCAAAAAAGAACAATAAGGGTTCCAAAGAATAGAAGCATTCTTTTTATATTTTTGGCATTGATTTGTGAGCAATGGTTACTCGTGCTATTCGCTATAGAAGGAAAAATATTGATGTAAAATATATGACCAACAACAAATACACTCACCAAAAAGCTCTAAAGCGTTTGCACTGGAAGACACTTCGTAATTTGTCGTCTACAAAGAAGAATCGCTTGTCTTTAGGATCAAGAAGATTGTTTGTTTTGATATATTCCCACATTTTTGCGATAACCTACAAACCAATATATAAAAATGATAGAGACATCTGGTAAACTCACATCACATCTCTTCATGAAGCGTGCTCCTACAATGCTCTGCAATTCCTCACTGAGCAAGCACAGTTTAGTCATACGGCCAAATTTACCGGAATTATCCACTTTCGGAGCGTTTTTGTCTTTCTTCTTTGGCTGCAAATTGCACAAATGAAAAGACTAGTTACGTGATTTCTATTTTCGTTTAAACCGTGAGAAAAACTGAAAATAAAGTTGCGAAACGGAC